AAATCGTTTTTTGGACCGGTTGAGAAATACTGCTGGACAAACTGGCAGATAAGGTATAGATATTTTCTGGAATTGGCTGATTAGATGCATAAGAACATAAAAAGTCTACATCACTGAAAACATATGGATCGTACGAGAAAATGTCAGCTGCCTTAAAACCATTTTGAATGTTTTGGGAAGTAAAGACTCTCGCATAAGCTATTCCTAAATTTTCAGAAATGTCAAATATCGTTATAAGAGTATTTGGATGTGCCTTTAACCATGAATCACATGTTGAACTGTAAAATTTCTTTAATGACCCAAATACTGATCTGTCAAGTGGTTGGAGTTTGTGGCTGTAATTGGATGGCAATGTCAAGAGCACGACATTACTTTCCTTAGCTTTATCCATCAATTCAATCAATATATGACTTTTGTGGTTGTCCATTATTAAAAGTAATGGATGATGCTGGCAAGAATATCCATGCTGCACAAAATGATCAAACCATTTGAAAAATATTTCTGTACTTTTCCATCCACTAGGATTAGCATCACCTTTGGTACCTGTTGGTGCACCTTTAAGCATGTAGCTACAAAAGTGGGCACGGGGAAATATCAAAAACGGTGGAATAGAATTTCCAAGGGCATTTATACAACCTATTATTGTAACTAGGGTTCCCCTTTCAGCAAAAGTTACCTGTCCTACTTGCTTTACTCCTTTACTCGCAACCACTTTTAATGGCTTATGAACAGTTGTAAGAGCTGCTTCATCAATATTGTAAATGCAATCAGCAGAAAACTTATATTACTCACTCTATTATTCAAAAACTATTTTTTAAAATTGCATTAAATAAAATAAATTAGTACCACAACCCTAAAAACTTATAATGACATTAGATTTAAAAAGGGTAATAGTAACGACCTTTATTTAAACTGAATTTTAAATACAGTGCTAAAAATATTCTTTATAAAACAATACTTACTGTGAAAGATGTCTTTAACAACCTGGATATATAAATGCTAGGATATGGTTTAAATGATTTATATTTTTTACAAATATTAAATACATAATTTTTAATAATTTAAAATATGTTTATGTTTTGGGATATTTTTATGTTATAAAATATGTAACCTTTGTAAGGGTGGAAACAAGAACGCTAAAACAATGATGATGATGATGATGATGATGATGATGATGATGATGATGATGATGATGATGATGATAATAGTTATGGTGGTGGTGGTGGTGATGGTGGTGGTGGCATTGACATCAAGACATATTGAGTGTTGAAAAATGTAAATCTTAAAAAAATATTAACTGTAACTTTATGTATAAATAAATCATTATCATAGCGAAAAATATGTATAAATATAGAGATCATATTAGACATATTAGCAACAAAATCTCAAGAAATATTGGCATTTTATTTATAACCAGACAAATCTTAGACAAATCTACACTAACTCAGCTATATTTTGCATTCATAAATAGTTATCTATCTTATAGTAATATTGTTTAAAGTAGTACAAATAAATCTAAACTCGAATGTCCACTTAAACAACACATTCATGCAGCACGCATTATTCATTTTCAAAATCGCTTTACAAATGCAAAACCTCTTCAAAAAAGCATGAGGGCACTTGATATTTATCAACTAAATATTTTCAAAATTACACAATTTATGTTTCAACATCAGTCAAAAAAAATGCGAAAGGTTTTTGAAAATATTTTCCCTAAAACATTAAAACGATACAATACTCGATCTACCGAAAGATTTAAAAAACCTTTCTGTACCTCAAAACTTACAAGCTTTGCCATTTCCTATCGTGGCCCAAAGCTATTGAACCATTTTACAAGCCTGAGTTGTAAACATAAAGAAGCCAATACCTCTCAAAAATTTAAAAAGACATAATCAAACTTATTGCCAATCAAGATTCTTTACATGATTTTTTCTAACCATACACTTTTATTTCCAACTTTTATTACCAAAGGTTACTGATGATAAGATTTTATCTACTTCAGGTTCTCCGGCCTCGTAACTGCTATAAATAATGAAATGTACTTGTATTTAATATTTTTAAATATTTTATCGGAAAAAACTTTTAATTGTATATGGTTCCTTGACAAAAATAAATAAAAATAGAAAAAATAAAAAAATAATACTGTAATTTAAGGCTTATTTGCTTCTGGCCAAGCCCACCAAATAGATCAATTTTCATCAAATAATAATATAATATCAATAAAATAAAATAAAAAGTAATGAAAAAGAGTTTCAGTTTTACCGTCTCTTTTGGTAATGTGGCGGTAACTGGAAAAATTAAATAATATGGTGTCATATGAAACTGACATTTTTTTTTATTTCAATTGAGAATTCATTGCAATAATAAATAAAACATAAATAGTTCATTTACAAAAAATATAGATATCTATGAGATTTAAATTAAATCTAAACAATATCATTAAAAAGCACCGCAGTATTCAGTTAAACACTAACTTGGGCGTCTTCCAAATTTAAAATTGTTGCGTAGTGTGTGGTCGTACATGAATAATCATTTCTCATTGTTCTATTTTTTGCACCAATAACAATACTTTTTAAATATTATAAATTTTATAAATATTATAAATATTACTCTACAGTCTAATGCGTTTTTCTTCAAAAAAGATTAGAATTTGTTTCATCAAACCAGACTAACAATCATTTGTGATATGTTCGTTGATGTTTCAACATGTTCATCTATTTTTAGTTTTTTTTTTATTACTGTTTCTTGTGTACTTTTTTTAATGAAATATGTTTTCGAGGTAGTTCGAGGTAGCTGGCGATTTTGTTGGATTAACACTAACACTAAATTTTCTTATTATCTAATATCCATCATCATCAATTGACAATCACTTTCCATTCAGCTTAACGTATCTTCAATTTGATCTCTGGTCAATATTTTTGACTTAAAACCACTTTTTCCGGTAAAACTTGCGTTTCCGCTTTGAACCAAATTTTATGCTCCTCTATTTGACACTATAGTTGGTACAAGAGTCTTTCTATCTTTGTTTCGGCCAGCACGTTCTTTTTCTGTCATTTAATGAAAATAAAAAGTAATGTGTTCTTTCAACTAGTTCGGTTGTATGCATTTAATGCCAAAAAGTTGGATAAACTGGATGTTAACAAAATTGGTTTCAAGTCAAAGTGATTAACATATAATACAATGATCTTTCAATTCCATTATTCTTATTAGTGCATACAAATGCTAAATTTAATGTTGCTATTTAATTTAAATTTTTATTATTAACTTATTTTCAAGAAGATCTTTTAAAATAATCTATAAACTATGATTGTGCATTTACAATTACAATTTATATCAATTACATACTACGATTTTACTTATTTTCAATTTGCTCAATTACATACTACGATTTCTAATTTACATGTTTTATCTCTCATACTACATACAAACATACAACGATTTCTAAACTGTTGTGTTTCTTTATTACATATTATGATGTCTAAATTGCATGTTGTGTCTCTCAATTACATTATATGATTTCTACGTATGTATTGTGTCTCAATAACATATTACAATTTTTTATTTATTTTTTAAATATATTTTGCTGTTTATATAAAAATAAAATAATAAAATTACCATGAAACTTTTACGTTACACAAAGAATATATATAAAACAAACACCAGTCATCCGTATCTTCTTTCAGCCTCTATCTCAAACAAAATACGGATGACTGGTGTTGCCTCAATCTTTTCATAGAGCCTCTTATCTTTTCATAGAGCCCCTTTATTACAAATTTAATGTTCTCAATTACATCTTGAAAAAGTGTTGTTATAAAATTTATAACATAAATCTAAAAAAATATTTTTTAAAAGTTAAAAAAATTAAGTAATCAAATCAAAAAGTTGTAAGATAAAAAAAAAGCCTCAACTATTAATAATAACTAGTAAATACGTACTTTTGTAATTTTAACTTCTTAAGAAAAGGAGACCGGCTCTAGTTTGTACGAAAGTGTTAATTTTTCAAAGTGCCTTTAACTTTGGAGTCTAACACATGATTTTGTGACTTTTTGGTGGAAGACTCCAAAGCTTAAAGCACTTTGCCAAAATCCCTTCTACAAACTAAAAACTAAACAGTTGAATACTTCTCACTTTCGGAATTCTTAAAAAACAAATTTTTTTTGTGAGTGCGAATTGCTTTTATTGTGTAAAACGAGAGTTTAATTTTTTTAATCTTTCATTATTATTCTTTAATTATTTCATAGTGTGTGACCATTCGGCGAATTTTATATGCCAAAGTTTTTAAATAAATTTAATTTATTCTTTCAAATGTACATAAAATTTAAATTTTTTTATTAAAAAAAAAAAAAGTTTTACATTCGACACTTGGTATTTAAGGCATAATTACTGATTTTCCCACTAAAATAATAACTTTTATATAATATGTTATGAATAAATATAAATACTATAATAATAAATTATAAGTTATTGAATAAATACTATAATAATAAATTATAAGTTATTGAATGAAATATAAATTAGATTTAATATCTATATATTTTTTGGCTATTAAATCAATAATTTTAAGGAAAAAATAATTATAATATTTGTTATAAATCTGATTTAAAATATTTTTGAATTTAATGCAAGTTGAAAGATCTATCAAATAAACCTAAAAATTTTTTTGTTCATTACTTCATTGTGAAAAGCTCATTTTGATTTCATTCCAAGAACAAATAAATGTTTGTTAAACTCGTTTAAACATGAAGCACAAACGACTCGCAATATTAAAGGATTATATTAAACATAATATGAAACATTTAAACTATATTTGGCAGGTTACTCTCTAATATTTGAAATAATATTAACTGTTATTAAAAAAAACAATATTTCAAGTTAAAAGAATAAAAAAAATAACAACAAAAAATCAAAGATAAAGAACTCTCAACCTTTCCTTCAACAAGTCTGATAAAACTATACGCTCGCTTAAATAAACTAAAATATTGTCACGCTCGGATGCTCACGCTTCCAATGTATTTGCTAGGCAGGTGTATACAAGAAATAGCTGCAGAAAAAATGGCGAACGTTATGCAGAGTTTTTTTTTTTTTCTTATGCAACATTAAAATTGTTAATGGTTAATTAAAACCGAGCGCTTTGTTTGGCGCATATGTTATTATATAAAATTGGTTAAGATGTTGGATTATGGTTATTAAGATTTTTGTGATTGGCTGGTTATTATTACTATGCGTTAAGAAAAGTAAGTTTTATATTTTTTAAGTATGTTTAATATATTTCTTGAATAAAAATTTATTTAATATCATAAGCACTTTTTGTACATATGGGTCAACTAAAAATGCAATTAAAACTTTGAATGAAATTATTAGAGTTTTTATAAATAAAATTAATTATAAAAAGTATATAAAATCTTTTTTTATATATTGTAAACATGCTTAAAACAAAATCCTTTTGTTGCAATTTCAAAATTTAAAAAAGTTTCAATAGAAGTTTTTTCACTTTATGTTTAAAAACGTTTCAAAAAATCAGTGGAGTAGTTTGCCTTAAATATGCAAAGAATCGTACAATAAATTAAAGCCAATGAATAAGTTGCGAATTATAATATGTGGAATTATAATATATAGAATAGGTCAAAAAATAACTTAAATTTTTAGGTCTTAACAAAATACTTAGTCTTAATTAAAATATTTGTAGTACGGTTACCCATAATGCACTTAATGGTCCATTATGCTGACGAGTTGTAAAAGTTCAATTTGTTCGTTATTTCTATTCACAGTAAAGGATAAAAGTTTTATTTACAGTACAGAAGGATAAAGGTTTTATTCACAGTACAGAAGGTTAAAGGTTTTATTCACAGTACAGAAGGATAAAGGTTTTATTGACAGTACAGAAGGATAAAGGTTTTATTCACAGTACAGAGGGATAAAGGTTTTATTCACAGTACAGAAGGATAAAGGTTTTATTCACAGTACAGAAGGATAAAGGTTTTATTCACAGTACAGAAGGATAAAGGTTTCACTCAGACATTAAAAATTACTTATTTTTAGTTTACAGAAATACATTTAGTCGTATAAAAATTTTATAAATTTTCTGAATACAGACAAATTACTCATGCTTAGGGTTACCATTGCCACTGCTTTACCGTAGAAAAACGCAATGAAAGTTTAGTTTTAATTAGTCTGGCGCTGCGCTCTAATACGTAAAAACCGGGACACTATTTTATTTAATCGTCACTCTGTTTATGCTAGTTTATGCTATTTATTTTTGCATTTCAAAAGTTGTTCAGAATTTGTTAAATGTTGTTCTAAATCAAAAGAAAATTTTGAGATTAATTGAGATTTTTGTTAAATAAATTTAACACTTAATGTATTAATTTTATTTATAAAGTGTATGCCAATGGGTCCCAAGATAGAGTACTGTTTTTAGGGCCCATGGAAAAAATACATTTTTTTATTTTTTTATACTTGAATATGTTACTCAAATTTATATTTTTCAAAACAGGATAATTACAAAATAATAAAATCAAAAAACGCCAATATATGTAAGGTAAATTTGAAAATGTTAAATATTAATAATATTTAATATATTAATAATATATAATAATATATTTATTTTATAAATATTAATAATATATAATAATATATTTATTTTTTGATACTTGAATATGTTACTCAAATTTATATTTTTCAAAACAGGATAATTACAAAATAATAAAATCAAAAAACGCCTATATATGTGAGGTAAATTTGAAAATGTTTAATATTAATAATATTTAACATTTTCAAATTTACCCTACATATATAGGCGTTTTTTGATTTTATTATTTTGTAATTATCCTGTTTTGAAAAATATAAATTTGAGTAACATATTCAAGTATCAAAAAATAAAAAAATATTACTTTTATTTCTATTACTTCAATTTGAGTACTATTACTTCAATTTGAGTTGTTCATTATTTTGAATAGAAAATGTAAAAAGAAACAAAACTATAAATTTTTATTAAAAAAATAATCAATTTATCTGAATAAATGAGCAATTTAGTCTAGCATAAATATATCTACTTTAAATGCAAAAGATTTTAATTGCTGTAATATATGACTAATATTAAAGATAATATTTTTTGGAATCTTTAACAAGTTTGTCAAATGCAATAAAACTGATCCAAACGTTTTTTTATTAAAGGAACAGTGTGATTAAATTTCTTTTTCAAACTGGTTTATCTCTTAAACTGTTAAAACATCAACTAACTCAACACTGTGCAAACACTGCGCAAACTGAGAGGCGCACTCCCCAGGGGAGCCAAAAAACGTCGAATTCTAGGAAGAGCGAAAGCGTGCAAAAAAGGTTTATTTAGTTAGATTTACGAATGTAATTACGAATGTAATTACGGGATTTAAACGTTTTCATTTTAGTTTCATTTCATTTTAGTGTAATGGTTGAAGTGGATTAAATTACCTGTTCATTTTTAGTTGAACGTTCCTACCACATACTTGTCAGATATAGAGTGTTGTCTTTTATTTTAAATCAAATAATGATCAAAGAAGTTTATTTTTATCAGTATGGTTTCGATAAGAAGTTTTTACGCATAAATAGCTCATATTCTGATGAAATGGTTTTAGAGCGTGAAAATTTTTAAAGAAGAAACAACAGCAACACAAAAAAAAAAAACAAAAAAAAAAAAACATAAGGTATTTTTAACTAAGCAAATAAAAATTTGTTGCTTTCATGACGACATATTTATGAATTATCTCAATTAACAACTTGATGACAAAACAATGCAAAATTTCAATTTAAGTAAGAAATAATGTAAATAATAATTTGGAAGTTTGTGTTGCACTGGGTAGAACGCCATATGTTTAGATGCTCAGGCTAACATGCCTAAGTATCGTCTTTCGTGGTAGAATTAGTGCAATTTAATGGTTTAGACTCAGTATATTTGGCTTCTTTCTATTTTAAGAGACCAACAATTTTTAAAAACTTGTGTAGTTCTTCGGCAGTTAATTGTTTCTTATTCCGTTTTTCGTTTTCGCTTTCATCCCAACGTTTTTTTTCATTGTTTTAGATATTATGCAGATACGTATTATACAACTTTATTATCAACTTTAGTATTATTCAAAGTTTTATCTGTTTATTTTTCTAATGATTTTACTGATTATATACGTACACTTGTTAAAGGTACTAAAAATAAAATCAGCGCAATCTTGATATATAAGCAATCAATTCATTCTCAGCAGTGGCAGCAATTTCAGGTTTGATCTTTCTGGCGAATTCAACTGTAGCAGTGATAAAATCAGTTTTATTTTCATTCAAATATAAACCTTCTGCGGCATTTTTGGGCGTTAATATGAAAGCAATTCCAATACATGGTGTAAAGAGAAAATTGAGGCGAGATTGCACTTTTTGTTGTATGCCTTTATCGTCCATATATGAATGGTACATTTGACCAAAGTAATCATACACGAGAGACAATGGAGTTGTATCACTTTCTAGCGTTCCGATCACGTTGGAAGGAAATTCAATGCTTTTGACAAGCTTAGAGAGACGGTCCCAAAATGGGTTAGATTTTATCAACGCCATAACAGCAGCAGATGTATTCTTTGGTTAAAATGTATTTTCTTCGTCTACCAATTTAATAAGTACGTATTTTGATAGCTAGAGACTGCTCATTGATTTATAATAACTAAACAATTGTGTAGATACAGGCATGGACAATGAAAGAGAAATATTTGCTGCAATTCGTCTTTCAACAAACTTTGCTTTCACAATGTGATGATTTTTCACATATTTGATGATTTTCTCTGCATATTTGTCTGTTTTTGTGGCCTCAATTGTAGAAACTATGTCCTTCACAAGCAAGTTGACTCCATGAGCTCCGCATCCGCTAGCCAATTGTATGGATATTTCTTCTCGATGATCCTCCACGCTGATTTCATTACAGGAGCGTTGTCGCTTATGAAACTGGTAAATTTTTGTGAGCCAATCTTCTCAATAACTTGTAAGATTGCTGCAGCAACTGCAGATGAATTTTGAATGATTCCGGATGTATTTATCGAAATGTAAAAAAAAGGCTTCTGTTCGAGCGCTTTAATACAAAAATTCACTATGTGATCGCCTCTTATGTTCATCCAGCCGTCAGACATCAGTGTTAAGTTTGTTTCAGAATTCAAAATTTCATTTACATAAATAGAACATTTTGTGTATTGTTTGTCGAGCAGAGATCCTGATAAGGCTTTAGCTTTCGAGATGACAGATGCGTACAATGGATTGAACGACTTCACAAAATCCTTAAAGACCTCCGATTTCACTAAATGAAATGATATACCCGTACGGTAAAAGAAATTTGCAAGCTTTGTATCGATATCATTTTTGAGCTCTTCATTAATCGGTGGATGTACACGCTGCATCGGTGAATCAGACGTAGACGGAAGTTGCTGAGAGTCATTGATTATATGTGACGATTCATAATTACGCTTAGAAAACAATCTTTTTTCCTCGACACTGGCGTTTTGACATGCAAGGCTGCAAGGCGTTCCTTCGACCATTGAACAGTTTTGTTACATGCTAAACAAGTGCCAGAACGCTTCCCTTGATCAAGATTTGTCAAATAATTCGAAATGTTTTCCATTTTAAACATATGTTATGACGAAAATACGCAATTTCTTTATTTTAAATCACTTTAAATTGTAGTAAGAAACACTTTAAAAAGTTTATATCGATTGATTATATGTAGCTCGAACAAAAAAGAAACAGACAAGTAATGAAAAACTTGTAAAAAGTAGATAATTACCTACTTTTTACGAGTTTTTCAAAATGTCTGAAATTATTTTATTAAATATTGTCTGAAATTAAATTTAAAAAAATAATTATTTTCAGGCATTTGATTCAGATAATTAAATTATCTGAATCAAATGTCTGAAGTAATTTTTTTATCATAATTTAAATTGTTCGTATCCTTTAAACTGTCTTCGCAGATGTCGGCGCCGACTTCTGCGCAGATATTCGCATATTATGTCTGCGCAGATCTGCGCAGATGCATTTGCCGAACCCTATATTATACATTTATTTGAACGTTTTGTAAACAAATTTATATATTACGAATATTTTAATTGTGTATATTTGTAAATGAAATTCAACATTTAGATTCGCAAACCTTATCAAGACGCTTGTGTAGACTTTATAACAAAGACTCTGCACTTTTGTTATTATTTCTTTATTTTTGAAAATTATATGTTTCTCGAATAAA